GAGGGAGAGAGAGATAAATTTTGATGTGTGAGAGAAACATTGATTGGTTGCCTCTTGCATACACCCCAACCGGGGAGAAGCCGGCAACCCAGAGGAGTGAGCAGGCATCTGTGCTGACCTTGAATCAAACCTGTGACCTTTCGCTTTGCAGGACAACATCCAACTCACTGAACCACACAGTCAGAGTGTTTTGTTCTCTTTTTGTGGTGGAAAATTTTTTCCTGTTACTTTTAAACATGGCATTCTTTGTTTTGAGAATCAATGTGATCATTTTGAATACTCTTGCTAAATTTACTGTTTATCTCCATGGTCTACTTACAGATCTGTGGGTCAGGGAGGGTAGAATTATCTTAAGTGAATTATTTCGAGGAGAGCAGTAATGAAGGCACACTTTAGGTTATTTCATTCTTGTGATCCAAATTTGATTACCAAGCTTATATCATTAGGGACATTTGAAGTTTTAATAACTACATCTGAAGGCCTAAAGAAAAAAAATTACATTTACTACACATTCATACACAACCATTCAGAGAGTTCCCATCTGAGAGCCTATTTGGGTGTTTTAAAAAAAAATTGGTTGAAAGCAAGATTCCATTTTAAGAGTTCATGCTCAGTTGATACATTGCCCTTTAAAAAACCCAAAAGCTAGATGTAAGTAATTGTTTTGTGTAGAAGAGTTTTAGCATTGCTTATTTGAAAGAGTTAAAAATATAAGCTATTGATTTTACCTTTCCTTTTGGAGGACAGAGTTAGGATTTTTCCCTCGGAAAGTTCTGAGGCTATGATTCATGCTAAAAGTACCCTGTTCCATTATGACCAACACGCGTTTGGAGCTCTCCCTGCTTCTAGGTCACGGGCTCTCCCAGTGGCCAGAGGCCAACTTTACCCCTGGACTCTTATGATCCTCGGAAAATAATCAACTTTCCACCAAAATCCAGTGGCTGCTCTGTTTTACATAAAGTGTGCAGCCTGGGGATGTGATGCTATTTAGCATTTTAGGTGGACAAGAAACGAATGCAAACTACCATTACCACTGACAAGCAATTCCAAGTGGAGCCATTACTCCAGAAATCAGGAAAGCAGCCTGATACATCACCTGCACTCTTTTACAGCCTCTCTAACTCAATAGCTTATTATTTGCATGGAAACAACAAAAATACAAATGCCTGGAAAGTATTCTAATGCATTTGTGGCATAGGTCAATACATTCCATATTGAAAAAGTGTTGAGCAAGTCAGCTCTCTTAGCTTGATATTTCTTCCTGTGGCAAGAAAAGAAAAAATGAACAAATTACTACTACACATAGCAACACAAAAGAATCTCATAATGTTCAAAAATAAAAAAGCTAGACACAAAATAATGTACACTGTGTTGTTCTATTTGTATAAAGTTCAAAAACACACAAAATGACTTTATCATGTTAGAACTAAGTATAATAGTTTACCTTTGATGAAGAGGGAGGGGATTATGATGAGAAGGAAGCATGAAGATTACTAGGGTGATAAAAAGTCCTATTTTCTGCCCTGACTGGTGTGACTCAGGTGGTTAGAGCATCACCTCATAACCAAAACATTGTGAGTTCTATTCCCAGTCGGGGCTCATGCTTAAATTGCAGGTTGGTCACCAGTCCCGGTGCCCATGATCCCAGGTCTAGGCAGGTACGGGAAGCACCTGATTGATGCTTCTTTCTTGCATCAATGTTTCCCTCTTTCCCTTCCTCTTTTCTTCCTCTCTCTGCAAAAGCAATGAAAAAATGTCCTCAGGTGAGAATAAAGAAAAAGAAAGAAAGTTCTATTTCCTGATCTGGATAGTGGATATATAAGTGTGTTCACTTTGTGATAATACATTAAACCATATAGCTATGATCAGTGTGTTTTAACTATAAGAATTATTTACTTCTTATAAACTTTTAAATTATTATATTATGAAAACAATATCCCCACAGGGAAAGACAATTTTAAGAAATGTTGGAATAACATTTTGCCTAATTTGAACAACAGATATTATAGAGAAAAACAGAAAATTCAGATAAACTAAAGGAAAAATACTACACAAAACTCCAGGTAGGGCTATTAAATTCTCATATGTTGCTGCAGGGAGTGTTCATTGCTAGTATTGTCCTTGGGTAGCTGTTTGGCATTAACTATGAAAGTTAAAGATATGCATATCCGGTGATCCAGATTTCTACCCTGGGTACATATCCAATAGAAATATGTGAATGTGAACATGAGAAGAATAGCAATTCTATTCATAATTGTTCCAAACTAGAAACAAGCCAAACTGCCCATCACAATAGGGTCAATATTTAAGTGTGGTATATACAGCTTTGGAATACATACAATATTGAAAATGAATGAACCATGGTACCCTCAGCAACATGGATGAAATTGAGAAACTTAATGTTAAGAGATAGATACCAAAGACATAATGTCATACACTCCCATTTACCTAAAGTTCAAAGAAATCAGGAAAAAATATTAATGCAAAATTTGATGCAGATTCATTGCTCTACTTGCTTAGTCATTGTGAATGCAATGGCCACACAGCACACATGCTCACTCAATGGCATCTACCACCCTCATTGATTAGTACAATGAAGTCATCATTGTTCATACATGTGCATTCCAGTCCACTGTCCTTAGCTGCCAGGTTACATTGATGCCATGCAAACTGTTCTCGTTATATTAACAATTGCTTGACTTTTCCAGACAGAACTTGTACTTAGGTCATGAAACTAAAAACAAAACAAAAAGAACAGTAATTATCCTAAAAGTAAGGGCAGTGGTAACCTCTTGGGGAGAGGGTGAGCTATGATTGGTAAGGGTGAATGTAGGGCTTCTGGGCCACATTCTATTTCTTGACCTAAGTAGTGGTTATATGTTTATAAAAATTTACTAAATTCTACTTTTATGTATCATACAGTTTGCCAAATGTATGTAACATTTCACAATAAAAGGTTATAAGAAAATCACATGAAACCCAAATATTCAGATAGCCATTAATGAACAGATTGATATTATATACTGCCAGACCTTCTTTAATGCAATATGTTTATTTTGTCCATATTGCTTTGTGGCCTTTATTTATTTATTTTTCTTTAATAATATGGCCTCCCAGAAGAATTCCTCTTTGGGTTTTTTCCCCATTTTTATTTAATTTTAACTAAGAGTAAATACCATACAAGCTTTATGCCCCTCTGGAAGCCTAAAGGCATAGAGTGGCTTTCAGGAAATTAGGTTGCTTTAACCTAAGCTACATTGATTCATAAACCAATCTGCAGGATTTTTGCCATAGCTCATGGGAGACTTTCCTTCTCTGTTAATAATGCTGCTGCTTCAAAAGAGAAAAGCCTTTCCCCACCTCTTCAGAGTGCTGTCTTTTCAAAAGGAAAGGCCAGGCAATGAAGGAGAAAGGCTGGCTGGGGAGTGTCTTCAGAAAGCTTGAGGTGGGGGAAGGGGTCATCCTGAAATGTATTATAATGAGAGTCATGCTGTGCCTACGCTGAGCGCAGCCTAGGCAACATTATGGTCTAGTTGTGTTTTTGTTTTGTTTTGATTTTTAACATCAAAGTAGTTCCATCGCTTTTTCCTTCTCCTGGAGCAGTACAAGTCTTCCTGTCTGTTCCTTCAGCACACTGTCCCTCACCCTTACCCTAACCGCAAGCAACCTCTACTGTTCTTCACCTTTTTCACCTTTTCATCATCTTAAGTACTACATGGCCCAAGGACCCTTTTATGGCCATCCAAGCCTGGGTGGTGACCACACAAGAACTCCATGGCACCCCAAACTTACCACATCACAGCATTTGTTACTCTATTTTGAAATTGCCTGTTTTCTTGTCCACAAACACTCTGCTAATTCATAAGTTTCCTGCACGCAAGGACAGTGTCTGCTTCATCATATTAACTCTGGGGCTAGTACACATTGGCACTCAATAAATATAGTCATTGAATGAATGAAAAACAGTTGTAAAATGAGATGGGACATGGAGAGAAGGGCTGTGATTTATACTATGCTTTCCCAAACACCTTCACCTGCAGAGCACAAAGGATTCAAATAGTCCAGTCACACCAACCTGGGATGGTACAAAATTCTAAAATCTACAAGTGCTCCATGTCAAACACTTACCAGTAATAGCAGTTTGCATTTGTATAGCGTTTCATTTTCTTAAGCAGTTTCATATATTATCTTGTATAATTCCAACAACAAATCCTCCAAGGTGAACTGGTAAGTTATTAATATCATCACTTTGCAGATTAGAAAACTGCCTGAGGGATCTTAATTAACTTGGCCCCACAATAAACGACTAGTTTTTGGTGTAAGCCAGGAACTAGTGACCCCTTAGTGCAAAAAGTGGAAACACTCTCAGTGTATACTATACACAGATATATTTTCAAGGAATAGAAACATAAAATAAATATGTGACACCATTCTGATTTTTACAAGTATTTCAGTATACATTTTCTTTCTTAAACAACATTTATTTTTTAGCTTTACTGTTCATCATGAAACTAGTACATATTTGGTGTACAAAATCAAAAAAGCACAACAAAAATCAAATCACTTATGACCATATTAAATAGAACTGTTTAAATAGAACTATTTAGAACTAAATAGAGCTATTTAAAATGGTATAACAATGGTATTGGTATTGTTTGAACAATGAATTGGTATTGGTGAATGGTAAATGGTAGTGTTATACCATTTTAATGACTCTAGCTGCATATTAAGTCAAGCTCTTATAGAGTGAAAGTTTCCCTCCCACACTCTATTCTTTTTCTTTTTCCACTTGATTCTTTATCTCTAAAATTTTCTTACTATTCTTGGCCACTTGCTCTTTTATTTGAATTTTAGAACTGGAATAAAACTTTGTTGGGATTTTTACTGGATTTGCATGGATTATTACAGGTTAAGTAAAATGGAAAGTTTTACTATATTGGTTCCTCTCTTTCATCAAAAGTCTATTTTGCCATTAATTTATGCCTACTTTAATGTCTTTTTAAAATATGGGATGCTTCAGGAATTTGTGTGTCATCTTTGGGCAGGGGCTGTGATAGTCTTCTCTGTATCGTTTCAATTTTAGTGCGTGTGCTGCTGGAGTGAGCCCTCGGGAGGTGTGTCTTACTGTTGGAGTCTATCAGAGAGGAAAGAGAAGAGGTCACATGTTCTTTATGCTCTTTATGAGACAGAAACTGACAAAGACATTAATCTGAACTAATTGGAACTATCACACACAAAACAATTTAGTTGTGTGACTGACAATTAGGGAAAATGTTTCTGGCTTTTGCTATTTTGTCCTTTCTATTATCTGAACAAAAGATTGTTTTCTGTTGATGGTCTTGGCAGAAGAAAAGCAGTAGGACAAAAGGGTTGTGAAGATAGAAAAGGAATAGGAAAAAGGAAATGGAAGGGGGAAGAAGGTGGTCAGACCTGTTGATGAGGAGGGCTGGGGAGGAAGGATGTGCTGCCTGGGCAGGTGAAATGGGTGGAGAGCAGTGGGGCAGAGAAAAAAGAATGACAGCAAGTTTGGATTTCTGAGTTTGAAAACGAGCAGCATGGCTTGGGAGCTTGTTAGGAAGTCAGAATCTTGGCCCCAGCTCAGACTTACCCAATCACAATCTGCATTTGAACTGGATTCCCGGTAATTCCTATGCAAGTTAAAGTTCCAGAAACTCTTAGTTGCTCCCAACCAGTCTGAGCCACCCTGATCCTGTCATCAGCCTTAGACCTATTAATAGATGAAACTGGTTTAGTTGCCTAGAGACCTGGAAGTCTGGTTCCTCCTGGAGACTCCGAGCCTCAGTGTTCCTTTACCACTTTGGCCAAAGCCAAAAGTCAGCCTCAGTTTCTCTGCCCAGCACTTCAGTTCTCTGCAGGAGTTGGATCCTTGCCAAGAACTGCAGTTTCCTCAGCAAGGGTCCTGATGCTGTGCCAAACTCCTGCTCTCCCTTTTCCTTGGGAGGCAGGATGTGATTTCTGACTCCCTTCTCAGCTTCTGGCTGAGGCCCTGCTGTGACTGAACTGATCACCTGGAACCATGCCTGATTTTGAATATTGTCAGTTGGACTTCTTCCAGAACTGTGTTCTGCTGGCAGATAGGACTCACTCAGACATCCAAATAGCCTGGCCCAGTCTGAGCTATTCTTGCCCTTTGACCACTGCGCACTGGCCTGCTGTCTCCTGGGGATGGGCCAGCTTCTGAACACAGGCTCTGTCCCCTCTGGATATTTGTTCCTTCCCCCTTCCCATGGTTTGTGCTAACGTGGTCCCAGCCTGCCTGTACCCAAATGCCTTCTACAAAAGAGGAGGAGGTCAGCAGAGACGAAGGGAAGTAGACCTCAGACCCTTCTCTCTCTTAACATCTATGAGGTCAGGGTTCCTTGGGCCTGCTTCAGTGTGGACCTTGAAATGCCATACACTGCCGGTGGAGCACTTTATATAAAAGGAATTCTGAAAGTCCTAGAAGGCTATTGAGTGCAAAAAGGTGAGTGCTTTTATATATCTTGTACTTTTGGCCCCTTTTCTAAGGTAGAAAAAAAAATTTGTTGCCTGAGTTATCATATAAAAACAAGCCAATCCATATGGAAGCTCAATACTTTCTCTGGTGTCCATAAAACCAGTTTGCTTTAACCGATGATATTAACGCCCCTGCCATGCTCAGTTTATAGTGGAACATTATATAGAGTTTATCACACCTACTACTACTGTGTTCCAACCCAGCACAAAATGGCACAAAGTTCAGTGCAGTCAGTTATGGAGATCCATGTTGAAGTAAACATTACTCTTCATCAATTAATAATAAGCACTGACTATATCTTTAAAACCACTGCATCATTTCTATTCCTAAGAACTATTCTTATGATGATAAAAAAAAAAGAAAAGAAAAAAAGCAGTGTGGCAGCACCCACAGTAACTAAGTAATAATGTGGGTGTTGTTTCATTATTTACATACATAACACTTTCACAAGAATCCAAATGTCTTACAAAAGAAAATACAAATTGCAATAAAGATGTGGTAATACATACAGAAAACAATTATCCAAAGGAAGATTTAAATTTGGCATCAGTTGCACAGAAAGAACGGATCGGTATCTACTGACTCCATTTGTACATGCAGAGGAAGGCACATGTTTGCCACATTCAGTAAAGAAGTTACATGGAAAACAGAGGTGAAAGTAGTAATAAAAAACATCTTCAATCATTTTGAATAAAAATACACCTAGGTGCCCATCAGTAAATGAATGGATCAAAAAACTATGGTAGATTTACACAATGGAATTCTATGCAGCAGAAAGAAAGAAGGAGCTCCTACCCTTTGCAACAGCGTGGATGGAACTGGAGAGTATTATGCTAAGTAATATAAGCCAGGTGGTAAAAGGCAAATACCATATGATCCCACCTTTAACTGGAACCTAAACAACAAAACAAACAAACAAGCAAAATATAACCAAAGACACTGAAGTAGAAAACAGGCTGACAGAGACCAGAGGGGAGAGGGGAGGGAATTTCAGGGGAGAATGGGAAGGGTTTACAGGAACAACTATAAAAGACACATGGACAAAAACTAGGGGGGAGTGGAAATAGGAGGTTGGTGGGGAGGGCTGGGGAGGTGGGCTGGGATGGGAGTAAAAGACAGAAAACTGAACTTGAACAACAATTAAAATAAAAATTTTAAAAAATACATGCTAATTCATGAAGTCACTCCAAGTTTTTAAAGTTGCATGGCGACCTCACAGAATTAGAAGGGATGGATAAATACGTGATTTTCCAAAAGGCACACTTGGCCCAGCAAATTCAAAGGTTCTAGGAAGATGTGATTCAAGACTAGAAAGAGTAAATGGATAGGAAGTAGAACATATGCAAGCATTAATCGTGGCACCTTTCTAAAGGTCCACATTTTCTCAGGATTGACTTTAATTGATAATTCATGAAGAAACCATATTTGTAAAAGACCCAATTTTGATGAATATCATGATGCTTCTCCAGTTGCTTTCAGTTTTATGTCTGCTGTTATGTCAGTATTTGAACAAGGTTCCAACCTACCACTTGAATTTTTGGAAAAAGGGAAACCCAGTAGAGGGGGAAAATACTCCCAGGAAATTTTTCTGAAATGTTGCAGAAGCTTAAAAATGGGTAATTATATACAGCATCACATCATTTTTAGTGCTATTATAACTTTAGTATGTGTAGTTATAGTCAAACCACTCAAAATTATGTCATTTGTCTTCCTTGCATCTCTTTTGTTTTCATCAGTCACATTGCAAAATCAACAAAGACTACATCATCCCGCTGAGGATTCAGCTGTGGAAAAGCATCCGCTCGTTCATCTCTAGGGTAGCTATTATTAGCTTTCTTTGATTCTCTCATACGATATGTGCCCATGCTTATTAAGCTGTTTGTTATATTACTCTATGAATATGAGTATTGCTATGCAGTGCGCTCCAGTGAAACACAGGGGTCCCTATTTCCATAGGTCTTTCCAAAATTAATATAATCTCTCTATTTTTTCTGAAACGTTACTCAGGGAAAAACATGTTAACATCATATTTGCACTGATACTGAACCTTTCTACAGAAAATTTTACAGTGCATGTACTGGATTATGCAGCGTGTCCTGCTAGATCCCTGTCCACCCAGAACCTGTGATTGCCCCTTTATTTGGAAATAGGGTCTTTGCGGATATAATCAAGTTAAGGTGAGGTCACACTGATTAGAGTGGGCCCTGCATCCAATGACTGATCTCCTGATAAGAAGACCTTGCACAGACACACACAGGGAGATCATTTTGTGAAGACAGAGGCAGAAACTGAAGTGATACAACGACAAACCAAGGAATGCAAGGGTTGTCAGTAACCACCAGAAGATGGGAGAAAGACTCAGGATAGATTCTATTTCCGAGCCTTTGGAGGAGTGTGGCTCCACTGACATCTTCATTTTGGACTTTTAGCCTACAGAACTGTGAGATCTAAATGTCTATTGTTTCATCCACCCAGTTTGTGGTATTTTGCTATAGTGGCCCTAGGAAACAAATGCAATGCCCAATCTACAGATTATGAAAATATATAAATGCTTTAAATTATACAAAGGTGATATTAACTTGCCCTTATATCATGAAATTAATAAAGGAAAAGGCTACTTGTTACAGTGACGTGGCAAGTATAAGCCAAAGATGTGATCGAAAATTGGTCATTCTAGCATCACAAGGCAGGTATAACCAAAAACATGAAAGTTTTAGCCAAAGCACTAAGGCATAGATGTCACATTTTAAAGTGGGGTATGAGATCCTCACTTTGCAAAGAGTATGTTGTCAAAATCTGATTACATGGCTTTTCAACTCCTTATATCAGTTAAAAGTACATTAAAATGAGAATTAAAGATACAAGGTGAGGGCTGTTTTTGTGTGTAGAATAGTCTGTATGCCGCACATCTCCACCCCCTTCCTGAGTCTATCAAGACCAAAGAAAGTGTGAATCATCCCCTTGGATCAGACATGGGCCACCCACAAGAGAAAGCCGTGAGTTATCTTGTGTTCTAAGAAGGTCATCTGGATGGGGACCAGGTGAACAAAAAAGCTGGAGTTGGTACCAGATTCCTGGGGTCTGAGCAGGAGTGAGCGGTCAGCCATGCAAAGATGCACTCTGTCTATAGGAAAGTGCAGGTGAGAGAAGTCCCACCCCTGGGTGTCTTCAAAGAACTCATACAACACCAACAGAAGCGGCAACTCTGAATACTTGTCAAGGCCTGAGCATTCTGGTACTAGATCTTCACATGACTACTAGACAAGTAAGAACTTTCCTGCTCCCCTTTTTCCCACCAGAAAGCTGAAAGGGGTGGGGACGGGAAAAAGAGAGAGACCACAGGCCGTTCTCCTAATCAACTGTAGATGTTTGTGGAAGCTGAGCCAGGCAGAGGAGAGGCCTAATTGTTCATGTTTTTACTGTGACATGAACCTAGACATGTGAATTATTGACCAAAGAATATATTACCTGGAAGTGATCAGAAGAAGAAATATTTGCTCTAAGTTTCACCCAAGAGCAGAGAGGGTGTTAACTCTGTGGAGTACATTTCAAGTGTTGCTTTATGATTGATTACCTCCTGTGAGTCATGC